CAATGGGCTGCTCCTGCAGGTTTTAAAGGTCTCAATAGGTCCACCCCCCCACCCCCCCAGCTGTCCCTGCAGACCTTTTCTAAGTAGATTTCCCACCTGGTATATTACCTTCATCACCTTCGCCCTAATGTATCATTCAGTATTTACTTCCTTGCTCTCTAGAGCATAGGCTCCTTGAGACTAGGACTGTTTTACTTATGTTCTCATCTTTCCAGCATGAAGAGCAAGGCCTAGCCAAGTGCCCTCCAAGCAGCAGCTCTTGACATACAGGGCGGGGCAGGATAACGAAGACAAAGGACTACACTGAAGACTCAGTAGTCAGCAAGTTTTGGCAAGAAAGCAGCCAATTTGACTGAAGGAGACAGATCAGCACTGAGCCTGGGGACATGACAATGTGGGACTTCCAGAGAGGGGTGTTAGGGATGCAGGCTGGGGTAGTCTGTGGAAGAGGAGGGTAAAGTCGTCAGAGTAAAACAAAGGCCCCTGGAAGAGCAGGGACAGGGCCTTGGAATTTTCGTGTTTCTAGGGCCTTGGAATTTCCTGCTGAGGTAAGGGCTGGCCTTTGACAGCTCTCAGGTGCCTTTGCTGAAAACCAGTGCTGTCAATGGTCAGTATGGGGTGCAGGTCAGGTGAACAGTTGGCTCTGACTCGAGTAAGACAGCGGAGTGAAAAAAAGGGGAAGGAGCTAAGCAAGAGAAAGTGGCTGAAGGTAAATGGAAAGGAAGATGAGCAAGATTCTCTTTGAAGGTGCAAGGAGGCCAGAAAGCAAAGTGTCCCCGCAGGCAGGCAGGCAGGGGCCTACTTAGACTCCTGCCCCCAGGGCTTAGCCAGACCGCAGATTTTCTCTCTTATCCAGCATCCTCTCTGGGGCAGCACTGCCAGGCATATGCGGACGAGCAGTGCTGCTGCCTCTGCTCTCAGAGGAGGCCAGGAGAGAAAGGAGGGCAGCGACAGCACAGGCAAAAACTGCTGGGCTGCTTAAGAGTGCAGCACTGTAGCCATAGACTGTATCTGACTCAGTTCTGTTACTTATCAGCCACCTGACCACCCTGTGTCTCATTTTCCTTACCTGGAAACAGGAATAATAAGGCATTTCCTTCATTTTTTGATGGAGGTGGCAGAGCATGCATGAAGCACGTCATGTAGTGTCCAGCCCATGGGCAGACAAAAAACAAATGTGAACTATGACAGTGATGACAAAGCGCAAAGGAAGGGAAGGCCAATTCTATCTCCCAGCGGGAGAGGAAGTAGCTCAGAAAGGCAGCACTATCCGAATGGAATTCTTGTACCAAGTCTTGATATATTAAGGAGTCTTCCAGGTAACTGGGATAGGGCATTGAGGGCATTTCCAAGCAGAGAAAAGCATGAGCCAAGATGGGGCGGGGTACATTCAGAGAACGCAAATGGCTGGAGAGGAGTGGGGCACCACAGAAGAGGCAAGAGAGAAAAGCCAAGGCCTCACAGAAACAAGCCATACCAAGGAGCAATGGGCTTGGCGGGGTGCTGCTCCTGGGTGTGGACAGCAAGGCTGGCAGAGCACCTCTTGCCCCTGCTCCTCCCTGGCTGGGCACACATACGCAGTCCACTCTCAAGCCACTCACATGATGGCCAGGCAGGAAGGGATGGCCGTGGAGGTAGTTCACACAGTCTGACATGGAAAAACCCACCAGAGGGCATCACTGTGCCTTGTGGCAATAATTCTGCACATACAAGCAGTTGGAGAACCATCACTGAAGTTGCATTTTCTGATAAAGCACAGGTATCAAGACCTTTGGAGAGGAACGAAGATGTGCAGGAGCCAGTTTTGCTTCCCCTTGGAAGTGATGGGGGAAGAGGCTTTTAAGGAAATTGGAAACTGAGCTTCAGAAGGTATTTGCAATGACAATACAATGTCTTAGAGGTGCCAAGGGAACTGCTGAGTGGATAAAAAGATTAGTGGAGTTGAGTCCTGGAAAGAGGGCTGACAGACAAAACTTGGAAGTAGCAAGATGGAGTGGACACAGCCATGTGGCGAGTTGGGCCTCTAGGCCTACACTACACTTGGCACCCTCTTACCAGGTGCCCTAGAAAAGGTACACCCAGACCTCCAGCTCATCTCATTGCTCCTGTGGCTTCCCATGCTTCAACTAAGCAGGCATTGTCCCTTCAGAAAAGGCTCTAGTGGCCTTTAGTCCTGTTTTGCTTGTGTCCAAGGCTCCTCAGCCCCATCTTTTTTCGGGGGGGGGGTCAGGTTATTCCCATCCTGTAGCTGAACCCCACATCCTTTTGTCTCCATAATATGTCTCCATATTAGCTTCATTCCTGAGCCCCTTAACTTCTACTCTCGCTTCAGGTAAACATTTCACTTTCATTAGTCTAAAAACACTTTCAAATTAAGATGAAGTTGGTCATTTGTGTTTGAACAAGTATTTTAGTCACAGGTATCATTCTGTGGATATATTGAGCTTGATCATTTTGAGGTTCTTCCTGTTAGCAATGAATTTAGTCAGGCTTAGCTGTAGCCAGCAGCACAGCTGAGAAGACCCACCTCACTCCTTGCAGACACAGGGCCCTGACAGCCATTAGGCCCCACACACACTAGGGTCTGTCTCCTGTTGGTGTTTCCCAAGCTGCTCAATTGTCTTCTTGCACTGGGCTTAATTTTCGTCGGTTCTATCTCCTCTAGGCGGGATATGGGCTGTCTCAGCATAGTGCAATTACAGGCCAACTCTTTATTCCCTTTGTACTCTGCAACTGAATTTCCTCAACCCCACAGAGCTCTTTGGAGACTCCCTTTTGTTGAGCTACCTTCTAGCAAATGAGAGAGTGTAGAGGGGCAAGCGCTCTGCACTCCTGGAAGCCCCACAAATGAGAGAGGGCAATCATCCTTCCTGGGGTCCAGCCCACTCACCTTAGGGGTGCTCATTCAGTTTTATTCCTAACCGTGATTAGGAGAGCACTGCCTTGGCCTTCTTCCCACAAGCTACATGCATTAGCCATGTCAGACATACCTGCTCCCAGTACTCTTTCTGGCTTTAGAGGGCCATAAGGGTGGCTGTCACCCTCTGTGAGCTGGGCCCATCCTACACGTGGGAAAGTGGTAACTGGCAGGTGGTTTTCTCTTACTGTTTCTCTCCGTTCTGGGCTGCGAGGCTGGCCCCTGCTTCTCCAACATGCATCTGTGCTGCACTAACATCTCCCACTATGCACACCTTTTTAGATAAATGTCAGCATTTTGTCACCAAGGACATGCTCTCCATCGAGATGGTACTGTTAACAGCAGCTTCTGGGCTGGAGTGGAAGACCAAGTATGCACTTCCTGCTTTCCGAAAAGGGTCCATCACCAACCCAGGGTCACACCTTTGTCAAGGACCACATGACCAGCCAGCTGACTGTATATCCCCAAGAAGCATTGGACTGGGATGTTCTTCCTGCTGCCGGGCCCCACCCACCCTGCTCAACTACTTCAAGAAGGTATCTGAGCCATGGTTCATTGCAACTATCATTTATTAAAAAATATATGTCTCCTTGGAAGGAACACTGGTAAACCAACTATTATCATGCTTACTTTGAATCTTTGCTTTTCTTCCCCAGGAAGGAGGGTTGAGCATTGTTCAGACATGTCACTTAGTTACCAACAGAGAATCAACACTCCCTGCTCACCCCCCTCATGAGAGTCACAATCATCTGTCACTTTATCCCTCTTTGCCTTCAGTCCAGTGTACTGCCCAAGAGAAAGCTGCTGCCTTTTCTTTCCTCATTCTGGGCCCCACAAGTCACAGTTAGCCTCATTATGCTGGTAGGATGCCTGTGAACAGAGTTCCTGAATGTGGCTGGTAGTGCTTAAGGTGTCTTCAACACTGTGTCACCTGCATTGGTCCTAACCCAGTTGAGGGCCACGCATTTCTATGTTCTCCCCTGCGTCATCCCTCCAGTGTGGAGGTGAGGGAGGCACGTTGGCTTCAAAGGAGCACAGTGGGGTGGGGTAGGGCCTGGACCACACTTGCTGCCTGCACTGGCAGTGGGAGGAAAACTACCTGAAGCAGTCACTGCCATCAGACTCTGGGAAAAAAGCAAGAAGATTTCACAGCTCACCAGTAAGCGAGTCTTAGCTCTACAGCTCAAATTTACAGCATTAAAGTCTACTTTCTTCATGAAGAAACAGTAAGCTACCAGCTGTTGGTGAGGGGGCTGGGGTAGGGCAAATGGAGCAGCTGCAAAAAAAAACCCAAATCCAACTCACTACATGGCCGGCCAAGCCTGGTGCTCTTCCAGTGTTCCAGCACAGAGCTGGGAGGCAATCACCTCCCTGTCCCTGTCAGTGGCCCCACGGAGGAACCCTCGACTAAGTCCAACATGTCCTGAGCAGGTCAGTGAAGGGCCAACATGGCAACACTGAGCCCCAGCTCCTACTCTCAGCCCTCACCAGCCCCTGCTTTCCCTCTCCTGACTGGATGGCCAGGCCTGAGTCACCTATTGTAGCCCAAGCCCAGCTCCTTCAGAACCTCAAAAGCCTTTAGAACACTTGCAAATTGGATTCTATGCATTCACTTAAATAGTAAAAGTAAAATTTGGAATAATGAAAAGGCTGACACAGTAGCACAACATGGTTTTGGTTTAACAGCAGCTTAAAAATGAACAAAAAGGAAACCTCTCATGCAGACACATCAGGCGGCATAAAACAATAGGCAATTTTATCCGGAGCATCATTAGCCATTCATTCTCTCTTCTGCACGGGAATGACTGCCCTGCAGGGGCAGCAGCTTCTCTCAATCAAGTCTCCAACCCTCAAGCCCCCAGCCAAAGGCCCTGCTCTCATGCTGCAGGTTGGCTCCAACTTGGAGCAAACCTTTAGCTCTGAAGACAATGACCAAATGCGAGTGAGTGCCCTTGGTACAGCACTTACTTCCATTTTCAACCCCTTCCCAACCATGTGGGACATAAGATGCCACCTGATTGGAATATGAAAATTAAAGCATTTCTCTAATAACATAGTACCATTGATGAAGTCGCCATAGATAAATTACATATATAGATCTATATATAAATAAGATACTTTCTGTCGCCATTATGTTGCACTGTTCAGAGCTGCAAATCAGCAGCACAGGGTAGAAATGCCCAGGAGCACCTTATCACGTGGGCTGTTTCGCTCACTTCACAAGCCGTGCAGCTGTCCAGAGTCTTTCCATCAGTCCTCCTCTCTTCTCTTCGCTTCTGCTGGGTGTTTATGAAAACAACAACTCTGATGGATTTGCACCTGTGCTAGCGCTTGGGAAAGGTCCATGCAGGAATGGGCACAGTCACATGATGAGTGAGATGGCATCATCAAAAAAAAAAAAAAAACCCAAAACAAAACAAAAATTTTAAAAAAAGAACAGGACTAGAAAACTCAATTTTTGACATATCTAAAAAGGGGGACAAGAACAGTACTCATTTGTTCTCCCCATGGGGACAGGAATGAAGAGGGAGGAAGGAAGAGGGACTTGATTTCTTCTGTTCACAAGAGAATGGTTGGAGGGGATTCTTCAGAGTTTTTCAGGGGATGGGACCCAAATGTAGTGCCCAGACTGGTCCTCAATGATTTGTTTGATTTTGTTATAAATCTCTTCCAGTGAGTCACCCTGTACAATGGCTAAAGTGAAGAGGAAAACAAAATTAACAAAATTATTACTGTGGTCCATAGCACATCCCCCAAACCCAGCCATCCTGCCTCTAACAGCAATCATCTAATGTCCCCAGGCACACAGAAGCATGGGTTTGGCTTCTTGAGTTAGCTGTCTAGAGCTCAGGAGTATAGGTGGTTAGGTGCCCAGAGCTGGAAGTCAACTCCCCGAGACGGTGAGACTAGCAATGAACAGGAAATGGTCATTTGGAAGATATTTATTGAGTGCCCACTCACATTGCTTTTGTCTGCCATGGGCTGGCAGCTTACAGTTCTAAAGCAGCTTCACTCCAAGATCTGGAAAGTCCCAGTTACCCAGAAGAGCAGAGAGCCACAATTTCTGGCAAGAAGCAGTGCTCCTGGGAGCCATCACATCTGCTGTGTCAGGGGTCAGCCCACCAAACAAGGGCAGAGATATGGATGGTAAAGGGGACTCTGAAGTCCCATGCTGTGTAAGTAATTTCTAAAGTCCTCACTTGGCTAATCCAGTGTTACAAGCTTGAATTTACTCATTGCTGCCCTGCACAGAACCATCCGGCACTGTATTTTAAAGGAACCTTTCCACTTTTCCAACCTTTTATGAACTGACCTTTTAAAGTAGTTCTCATTTACTCTCTCTCTCTCTCTCTCTCTCTCTCTCTCTCTCTCTCTCTCTCACAGGGATATGTACACACTGACAGACAACTTGAACACCATACCAAGAAATCATCAACATTTATTCAGCATCAAAAACATGCAAGGCAAAGGAAAGGATGTGGGAGAAAGACTTGGGAGGGAGGGAGACAAAAGAACCTGTAATCTAACAGGAACAAGAAGACAGTATGAAGAAAGCAACCACCCAAAGTAGCGCCCAGGGAGCACCTCCTGCTACAAGAAGCTGGCTAGACTGGCTGACAGGGAACCTAAGTGCCTTGGAAGGTCAGTGCTCAGTGGCCGCAAAACCCCCAGACATGGTGCAAGCACTTTAAGCCTCCCAAGCCTCCCTGGGCTGGCTCCATGGAACCCCTGACTGGGTAGAAGGGATTCTTACCTGTAAAGTACTCTCCAAACTCTTGCTCCAGCTTCATGGCTTTGTCATAGATCTTATTTGCTTGTTCATATGTCTGCCGTCGGTTCATTTCCCTGCCAAAGACACAGAAACAATCCATTTCCAAAGGAGATCTTGTATTTTGATTAACACAATGGAATGTCCTAGGTTTCCTGAAAATCTGCCCTCTCAGAGCAGTCCATGGCTAAATCTCTCCTCAAAATTTCCAAGTCTAAAAGCCCAACTGGGAGGGAGAACACACCCAGGAGCTCAAGCTAGAAGGAGCAACAGGCACTCAGAGATGAGGCAGAACTGCTTTCCAACTTCGCTGGGTCCTACCCTACCCAACATGTTACTTTAATCTATTTCTTTCCCAGGGCCACCTGAGTCCCACAGACACTTACATTAGTGCTTCAATGGACTTGGGCTTAATGAAAATGGCAATGGGGTAAAGTTGTGCTTGCTGCAGTCTCTTGATAGCATTGCCGGAAACATCTAAGATGCAGTGCTTGCCCTGAAAAAGAAGACCTGTATCAGCCCACCCACTCCCCATCTACACACCCCAAAGAAATCCAGTGGCATTTCAAACATCCACTTGGGAGTAACCCAGGGAACCCCCCCCACACACAGTGGTCCAGATAAGTACCCAGACCCTGCTTCTGTGATGACTCATCTTGACCATCAACCAGATTGGATTGAGAAGCACTTAGGAGATCAGTAAAGCATGCCTCTGCTATGTCTGTGAGAGTGTTTCCAGAGAGGATTAACTAAAGGGAAAGTACTGCCCCGAATATTGGTAGCACCATCCCATGGTGGCTGGGAGCCCCCATTTGGAACAAAAGGAGAAAAAGAACAAAGCTCCCTGAGCATCAGATTGTCTCTGCTCCCTGCTCACCATGAGATAAGCAGATCTGCTCCACTATGCCCTCCCCACCATGAAGGACTAAAACCGCTGATGCCATGAGCCAAAATAAGTCTTTCCTTTAAGCTGTTTTGCTACCATGACCAGAGTCTCATAAACACAGATTCTATTACCCAGAAAAGGCCACCTCTCCCTAGGGGCCCCATTCCCTGGTGGCTTGATGCTCGACTGTGAGTTGCACGAGAGAAGCAGACACACTGTGACTGAGGGGCTGGAGACATGCAAAGCTTTCATGTCTTTAGTCAGTAGTGGAGGAAAGATAAAGACTCAAGTAGAAGCTGGGCCTAAGCATTGTCTTCGCTGTGGCTCATGGGTAGCCAGGCCATCTCCTCTCTGCTTACCCTCTCTGCAACTGCCCGCACTGACTGGATGCTGGTCCCATAGAGATTATCGTTGAACTGGCCTGCCTCTATGAACTTGTTGTCCTGAATATCCTTCTCCATCTGTTCCCGGGAAACCACAAAGTGGTAATCCTGTCCATCCACCTCATTATCACGCCGAGGCCGGGTAGTATCTGAGGAAGGAAGGAAATGCTGTGTGGGCCAAAGGCAACGATCTGGGCTACAAAAGCCAAATTGGTTGTTTCTCACCTAGGAGGGGGACACAAGGCTGTTGCAGTAGTTTTTTAGACGAGTAAGGAGAAAAGCATTTGGAAAAAAGCTTTTCTGGCCCATTTCTCTTCAAAAATATCTTACACAGAGTGCTAAATGTTTGTTTTAAGTTAAAGTGGACAAAAAGGTGGGGTTTCCTGACACGGCCTGGCACAGGGTACAAAACTTGGCATGGGAGTTAGTAAACCAAACAAATGATTTATCAAGTCACATCAATCCACTTTGTGTATAATACCCTGATGGGTTCAATCCTCAGCACCACAAAGAAACAAAAAATAAGCCAGCACTTTGCCTTGGCATGCCATCTGCATAATCTTTATTCCACAGTAGCAGGGAGGTAGCCAAGCTGAATGGTAACCCTCACACCCCACCAATGCTGGGGGCATCTATTGTCATCTACTCTCTTCCAGAATGTTCCCAAAGGGCCTGGATCCCAGACCCTTTCCATAAAACACTAGAGTAGCACTTCTCAGAGCAGCAAATGTCACTCCTCTGGGTCTGCCTAGGTTCTTACGTGGCACACAGGATCCAAATTTATGTGGGAACTCAGAGATCAGATCATCGTTGACTCGGTCCTTCATTGGGCCCAAGATGATCACAGGCCTCGCATAGTGAACTGGGGAGAGAGAGCACACAGTAACCAGAGGCCCCACAGGGCAGCCTGTCCTACCTCCGAGTACAGAGGCTCTACAGCCAGCACTCAAACAAAATGAAGTGACTACAGCCATTCTCAAGATTTCAAATACGAAGACATTGAGGAGCCTGACAATCTTATGTCTCAGGCAAGTCTGAAACTGGAAGCACCTCCCCTTCTAACAGATTCAGAAGCAATTTCCACATAGACACCAGTTGCTGAGAAAGCTTTCTGCAAAGCGGATGTCCAGGGGAGGATTTAGACCCTCCTCTATGCAGCATCAGTTGCCCCTACTGAAACAGCCCTTCCCTTGCTTTCCTTAGAAATCTGCCTGCTCTCTGGATTGCATCCTGGCAGTGGGCAGAATCATCCCAAGGGGTGTATACAGCATGGCATTCACCCAGTGATGCTGGAGAGGAGGAGCCAGGGGCTGGAGCCTCCTCCCTGCTGCCGTAGTCGCCCACTGTACTGAACCCCATGACTGGGTGACTGGCACAAGGACAAGACTCTTGGAAGGCTTACTTTCTTGCCGCGTCACTGGCTCATATGACAAAATAGCATCCTCTTGTCCTTCTGCAACAAAAAGGGAAACACGTTAGCACTTTATGATCTGTCTGTGTATATCATTCACCACCCCACCCCCACCCCAAAACAGTCTCACTTTCTGTTGGCAAGAAGGCTGGGAAGCCATCCATCAGCCTTGGGCTCAATTCTCATTCAGCAAAATATTGCCAAACAAAGGACGAAGGTCCAGAAGCCAGGAAGCCTCTAGCAAAGACAGCCCAACCTCTCAGGAACTATTCATATAGGTAACAGTTGGTTATGTCCAGTGGCCCCCTTGTTCTGAAGAGAATCAGAGAAGCTGCGAATGGTTGAGACATACTTGCCAGAGTCCCTTTACCTAAGTCCAGATAATCAGCCCAATCCCCAAATCTGCAGCCTAACTTTACCCTTTCAAGGGTCTACTTATCTCCAGCTCACACCTCTAAGAAGCATCTAGGGAAGTAGTACCCAGCCAGACTAAGGTTCCAGTGCCCTTTAAGAGAGCTGATAAACCTGTTCTCTCCTCTCTCGAGGTGGAGCCCCGTGTAGCCTGGCAATGATAAGGTCTTCCTTAAACAGTCACCAAGGCACTTGGCACTGGGTTCTGGCAGTTCCCAAAGTAGCTGACAGCAGTACTAGGGAAGGCAGTGACATCTGCATGGAGCCACAGGATACTTGCTAAAGGGTTTCTTCTGAGCCTGAGCCTGGGAGGGGTGTAAGACCTTTAGTCAGCACAGCTCCTCAAAGGCCAATGTTCCCGAAGCTTATGAGGTTCGACTATGGCTTCTCTGCTCTAGTCACAGGAGTTCCCAAGGCAAACTGGGCAATGTCCTTCCTGACCATCTAACCCAGCCAGAAGCCAAGGTGGTTCTAGCAACTGGGAAAGGCAGATGGCAATCAGGAACCATTTTGCTTTTGGTCTTTGAGTAAATTTGTAAACCTGGCAGTCTCAACAGCCCACATGCCCATGGTAGGGACCGGCTCACAGGCAGTTCACCCTCCCCAGTGTCCCAGGGATGCTTTCAAGTCAGGTCCTGGTCAGAACTACAAAGCTTATTCTCTCTGTAATCTACTAGGCAAATGCCATCCCACAAGGTGGACGAACTGGCCACAGCATCTCCAGGGGCTCAAAGTGTACATGGCTAAAAGGAGCAGCAGCCTCTGAGCAGGAATGGCAGCCGTGCAACACAGGAATGATGATGGCTGGGAGACATGAGGGCACTACATGACATGGGGGGATGACACACACTTACTGGAACTGCTTTCGCTGTCACTGGTGTTGGATGTCACTCCCTCTGCAAGCCAACAAGAAAGAGACTCCAATTCAGAACACACCACTGAGAGGTCACATGCAGCACAAAACTCAAATGTGCCAGGAGTGAGACACTGAGATGCCAACCAAATCAGGCTACAGGAGGCCTGCCACATCCAGGCCACCAACTGGGAGGCACAGCTCCAATCCTGACGTATGGTCACCTCCTCCATGTCCCCAGAGCCCTCTCAGTCTACCAATTCCCTCCATAGGCACTAAAAGCCTTATTTCCTTTCACAGCATTCTCTTTATCTGAATCAAACCAGCTGATTTGGATGACTTCCAAATCCTGTCTCAGAACTCATCTCCCAAGACTAATGGGCAGGAAAGAAAAAGATAGGGACAACCAAGGAGAAAAGCCCAGGAATGATGCTGTTTGTGAGTTTTCTCCCAAAGACAGAGCCACCAAAAGCACAGAATTGTGTGGCACTTCCCAACTTAAGAGGCTGAGTACTGGATGGGTGGCTGGATGGAACAGGCCCCGGGAACAGGACTCTGACCTTCAGTGGGACCCATAGCCCTCCTTCTGCCAGTTCTCAAGAGCTTGGCTTCAGCACTGAGGGTAGTGTACCTCCATCCACAAGACAGATAATGTCAAAACACAGAAACAACAAACCAATAAGGACATTTCACAGATAAGCCACCCCTCCCATCACAGACAGTTAGGACCTACCCAACCCCTAGTGTGGGTGGAGAAAGCTCAAGCAAAGAGCTGTGCTCACAGGGGGCATGAACACAGCCAGGGGGCATGAACACAGCTAGCCCTTGAGACAACAGGCAAATGGAGATGAGACATGAACACACCAAACTATGGAGAGATGCTGCTCGTTTCAGCCAAGACCATGCTGTCCCAGACCAGGATATGCTGTGCCCTTCCCGCCAAGGACTGGCTGAGATGACACATGTAGCCAGTCCCTGAACACTCCCCGAGGGTAGCTCCCGTGCCTTCCACCTTTATCCTGTACTGAGGGAAAACGTGCAGACAGAGCCTACCCATGAGGCTGTACTTTAGATACCTGCACCAAGCAAGGATGGCTATTGAGGAACCCTCACCTAGGTCCTTCTATTTCCCACTCTGGGATTACTTTCTAGAATGGACAGGTTAGTCAACAGTTACTGAGATTTAAAAAAAACAAAAACCTAGCTATACATAAGTGATGCAGATGACCCCACCAGGTCAGCTTGGCCTCTTAGAGATGCTCTATGGTCATGCCCCTATGCTGACACCGTGTAAATGCTAGGATACCTTAACTGTGGGGTTCACTCTGTCCCCAGTTATAAGGACTGGAAGAGCTGCAGTTCTCAAACCCACCACTTTGCTGTGAGGTCAGCTGGAGAGGGTTTGACCAGCAGGTACCTTCCCTCCACAGGAAGCTAAAAATGAGCTGAGTGCCCACCCTGAACATGTACTTAGACCCACCTCACTTCTAAGGGGCACCAAGATCATGTCCTGCCAGTTGGAGGTGTAGAAAGAAAACACAGACAGGAATGCTAGGGATTTGTTGGAGTCCCAGGGCCATTTAGAGCCACACACATTTCTTCCTGTCATGGGAAGAGTTCTCACAAATAGTGCCCTCCCCTCACCCTTCACCTTCACCCATGTCCCCTATACCCCCACCCCGTTATTTCCATTCATGCCACATACAGAATTAATGGTGTGCAAGTTTAACTTACTCAGGTTCTTTGCTCCATAATAATCGTCACTTAACCCAGGGAAGTCCTGATTTCACAGACACCAAGGACAGAAAGAGGGGGAAGGGAGGAGGGGAGGGAAGGGAGGGAGAAAACCAGGAAAAGAGAAAAAAAAAGAGAAAAACAAACAAGGAAGAATACAGAGGTAGGTAAGCATTAGTGAGAAGTATAAAGTTCCCATGAAGACCTCGAACTACAGTGAGGTGAAGAACTCTGCCACAGAAGAATTTTGCATGTCAGCTAGGATGTCTGGCTCCATGCTACTCAGCTTATTGCCAGAGTAGACCAGCTTTCTTAGGTAGTCTATAGCCCATATGCCCATAGGACACCACGGGCAACATTCCAAGGCTTCAGAGTACTTGCTTTGACCAAATCTGTAGTTATGGAGCCCAGGTCTCTGCTTTGGCCCTGCAGTAACCATTACCCACTGCGGGTGTATGAAAGAGATGCCCTATGTGCCAGGTAAACACACAGAATTATCATCACCCTGGGGAAATTTCACCCATACTTCCTCACCCTGTCCAAGCCCGCCAGGGAAAACTTCTCTGGGGTGTGGCCTCTGAAGCTGCCCTGAGCTTGGCTTCTGGAGAACAGGCACCAGGTAGTGTCAATGCTGTTGTCCAGTGGTCACCCCATCACACACACACACACACACACACATACACGCACGCACGCACGCACACACTCTGGCTGGATAATTAAACAACGACACCTCTCGAAGGCTAGGCTCCATGAGGAGGTTCTGGGACTCATCTGTTAAACTGTAGCATCATTACTCAGATCTTTGTCTCACAAAGCCTTCCACTGCCCACAGGATCAACTTCCTCTAGCCTCTGCCACCACGCAAGCCCAGAATAAGTCATGGCCTTGATTTCGATGAAGACACCTTGTTCTACCAGGGTTACCCCCCAGATGGCCACAACCCACACATCGGATCATGAACTGGGTGGGCCTACAAGAAGCTATTACCTATCAGAACTAGTCAGTCTCCTGTCAGTCCCACAGCCCCGGAAGGCAAGATTGCTGCATGAAAGATAGAAGAGTGACTGGTAAATGAGAGACACAATTCACAATGACACAGATGAGAATCTCCTGACCTGGTGTTTGAGGTTAGGGTCAGTGTAACTAGTTTCTGGATCATGTGGTAGGGTAAGATGATTTATCAGGACTGAATTGGTTCTTAATGTAGCTCAGTAGTATAGCCTGTTCTACCAAATCAGTTTTGTGTTTCTTTAAAAAAATATTTATTTAGACAATGCTGAACAACATTGTGTCCACATCAACACATGTGAGCAGGAAGGTTTCCTTGAGATAACTGGCTCTGCAGGTACCCTGACATGACAGGGAGCCCGCTATGAGTCATGTGGATACCCTGTGTGCATACTCACATGTATGCATCCCAGAAGCAGCCCAACTCCAGGGATCTGGGGAAAGATAGGCCCTTCTCTCAACATAGATGAGTGAAATTAAGGGGAAGAAAACACAAGAGGCTGGAGCCAAGAGAGCAACACTTAGTCCCTTGATCTTGTTCTCTTGAAAAAACCATTTTCTAACCCTGACACTGGCTGAAAACCATTCCTTATCACCACAGCAGAGCTCTGTCTGGCACTTTCAGCACAGGGGACAGGGACATCCTGGAGGCTGACCCTGGGACCAGCCTCACTTTAGAGCCTCCAATATCCAATTGACGTGCGGTGCTGGACAAATAAATAAGCCCCAATGTCTCCCCCTGCAGGCCAGATTCTGTCCCGGTTGCACAGAAGCAGGTGGGTATAGGCAGGTGCTCGGGAGGCCACCGACTCCTCCTAAAGAAGGGGCAACTGAGGACGAGAGGACAGAGCTGCGAATGGCCTGCCCTCTGGACTCTCCTGCTACTTACGTTCCTGTATGCTGCTCTCCTGGGTCATGTTTTCTTTGCTCTTGTAAAATGGAAACTTTCGAGAGAGGCGGAAACTCTTTTTACGTTTCGTTTTGATCGACTGTGAAAGAACATGAAGATGGAGGGGAAGGACAGAAGAAAAAAATAACAATGGATTTTAAAGCATGCAAGAAAAACTAAAATGGAGACAATGGTGAGCTAAATAAAAGACCATCTTTCACAAATGGAGTCTATGAGATTAAAAGAAAGTTGATGCAAGAGGAAAATTATGTTTACAAGAAAATGTTGTGGGGATGTTAGGTTTCTACTTTAGTCCAGCCTCACAGCACGCACTGGTATTCCTAAAGAACAAAGGTCACTGTAGCCTCCTAGACACAGACGGCCCTAAGGTACCACTGATACACAGTCACCTAGTCCACGTTTCTCTTCCCTCTATTGCTCCCGAAGTTCTTTAGCCTGCAAAGCTCATAGAAAATGAATGACCAGAGAGATCCCTGGCCCACGTTGTCTGGGGCTGGCCTTCCTGGTAAGATGATGTCCCCAGAGCTCCAGTAGGGTCTGCAGTCATGGAGACACCCAGGAATGGTTTCATCTTCCCAGCCAAATCAGTCAACCCCAGCACCTCTTCCAGAGCCAGTCACCCGGCAGGCGGGCCACAGGCTGGCTGTGGGTGCTCAGCACTCCCTCTGCTTTCTGAAAAGCAGGCAATTTCCTAATGGGACATAGCCAGCCCCCTGAAAAAGAGGCATTCTTTCATATTTCCCAGGTCTCCCACATAGCAGACCAAACTCCAAGTTTTGCTGTGGGTGCTCAGCACTCCCTCTGCTTTCTGAGAAGCAGGCAATTTCCTAACAGGACATAGCCAGCCCCCTGAAAAAGAAGCATTCTTTCGTATTTCCCAGGTCCCCCACATAGCAGACCAAACTCCAAGTTTTGCACCCCTCTTCATTTCCTGACTGTCATGGGGGTTCTCACTTACCCTGTTAGACTCAATCATGCCTGTTCTGGCATGGAACTTCACAGTTTTCAGTCGGGCCCGTTCTTTCTTTTCCACTCTGTTTGGGAGTCAGAAAGAGGTCTAGTTACTGACAGCACATGATCTCAGCGGGCACAGAACCCACTGTGGCTTGCTGAGTGAACATCATGTACTAAGTACCAACTTTTTACAAAAGGCATTAAAAAGGCTGATGCTCTGTTTAAGCAACTTACAGTATAAGAAAACAAAGGCAGATTCACTAAAATGGGTGTGATGGAGCACAAATGAAATCCCAACACTCAGGAGGCAGAGGCAGGAGGATTGCAGCAAGTTCGACACCAATCTCGGCTACATAGAAAGTTCCAGGCCAGCCTGGGCTACAGTGAAAGCTTCTCTACAAAAAAAAAATAAAATAAAATAAATAAAAATTCCTACATCATGGAGAGGTTTAGAGCTTGGGATGGTGCTTGTGCCTTGTCGGAGGGGCAAAGGTGGCTTCCATGAGTTCCAGGACAGCTGGGGCTACAGGGAGACCCTGTCTCAAAAAGACCAAAAAAAAAAAAAAAAGTAAAAGATGACTCAGTGGTTAAAAGCACTGGCTGCTCTTGCAGAGGACCTGGATTCAGTTCCCAGCACCCACAAGGCAGCTGACAATGGTCCCTAACTCCAGTTCCAGGGATCCAGTCCTCTTCTGGCCTCCAGGGGCATTACACAACACAGGTGCACTTACATACACAAAACACTCATACACATAAAACAAAAAAGACACATATACCAGCAAGAAGGCAGGAAAAGTCTTCTTGCCCATGACCATGACAACTTACCTCTTTTTACTAGGGATCACGCCAATCTGTTCGCTCTCTCCATGTGGGGTCACCAACCTTGCCTGCCACCATTCATCATCAGAGGCATTGATGACATGCAAAATGTCACCATAAGAGAAGCTAAGTCCCTGGCTTGGCAGGCAGCTGTCCCGAGTCCGGTCATAATCAAACAGGGCCCTGAAATGTACAGTGAAAGATGAAGAGATTATCCTGCCCAAAATTCCTGGAAGCTGGTTGGTAGCCAGAAGGGATGGTGGAGGACAGCCAACTCAACAACAGCAGACACCGCACCCTCCGCAGACGGGAAGGGATTCTGCAAGATGGTAACCTCCTTTCAGCCTCCAACTACCGAATATATCCCTCCTTTTCAAAGAAACATCCTATTTCCCCAAGGGACATAGGGGGAAAATCTTTTCCAAACCCCATCTCCTCTCAGCTTCTAGACATACTAGTGGCAGCTCAACCTAGGACCTGGTCAGCCACTACTTGCCACCCTCATTCTAAGGGAACAAGCTCCACCAAAGTTTATTTTGGTATATAAACGGATCTTTGAAAGTAGCTGAGGACAGTTCAGGGGAAAAAGGTTAACTACAGAGTCGGGCAGTGAAAGGTAAATGCTACAGAAGCATCAAAGGGCGAGCCCTGTATCCAAAAGCAGTCAAGGTAAATGCTAAGGCTGCCGCCGAACCACAATATTCCAATGGCGTGAGACACTAGAAGCATCCTGGCTCAGTATCTTTTTCTTACATATAAGGAAACAGAGGCTCAAGTAAGGACAACTTGACTTAGGTGATACACCTAAGAGACCTAGGGCAGACCCAGGTCTTCTGAAAAGCTCCTGTGTCATTTTGCAATATCCTCTATATAGACTAGAATAATAAGATAAGGGGTGGGCGGAAATGGAAAAGGAGATCAGTTTGGATGGACCCAGGACATGAGGCTGGAAATAAAGGTATGGAAGGTCTTAAACAGACCCAATCCAGAATCCAGTCTGACCTCAAATGCAATGGAATATGAGGAGGAGATTGAAAGCAAATGCAAAGCAAAACTCCAAGTTCAAGCCCTGCCGAGGCATGGCATGCAACACCAGAGCTCCTTGCTCAGGGAATAGGCACACTTGAATAGAAAGCTAATTTTCTCAGCTGGGCATAGTGGCACATGCCTTTAATCCCAGCACTCAGTAGGCAGAGGCAAGTGGATCTCTGTGAGTTCAAAGCCAGCCTGGTCTACATAGCAAGTTCCAGGCCAGCCAGGACTACATAGTGAGACTCTATCTCAAAAAAACAATACACACACACACACAGACACACACATAAAATAACCCACAAACCGGCTTTTCTCATTGCATGTAATCTGTAATTGTGGAGTAAGCATAAATGGGGGACTTTACTAACAAGGGTTTGTTCACCTCCCCCAAATTGCAAGGTAGGCCCTATCTTCCTCCTTTTAAAAAAAATATTTATTATTTTTATTTTATGTGTATGAATGTATTGCCTACATGTATGTAAGTGCACTCGTGTCGTGCAGCGCCTGTGGAGGTCAGAAGAAGATGTCAGATCTCCTAGAACTGGAGTTATAGACAGTGGTTAGTGGTCATGTGGGTGCTGAGAATCAAACCCAGATCCTCTGTAAGAGCAGCCAGTGTGGGGCTGGAGAGATGGCTCAGCAGTTAAGAACATTGGTTGCTCTTGCAGAAGACCCAGGTTCGAATCCCAGCACCCACATGGCAGCTAACAACTGTCCATAATTCCAGTTCTAGGGGATCCAACAGCCTCTTCTGTCCTCCGTGGGCATTGGACGACACAGGTGCACTTACCTACATGCAGGCAATATACGCATACACATAAAATAAAAATAATAAATAAACAAATTTTAAAAAGAGCAACCAGTGCTCTTAACCACTGAGACATCTCTTCAGCCCTGTCTTCCTCCTTTTTAAAGATTTAAAAAAATTTTTTATTTATGTATGTGTGTAGTGTCTATGTGAGTGTATGCCATGTGTGTGCAGGTGCCTGCAGAGGCCACAAGAGGGCATTAGATGCCCTGGAGCTGGAGTAACAGGAAGTTATGAGCTATAATATGTGGGTACCAGAAACCAAACTCCAGTCCTCTGGAAGAACAGAAAGTGCTCTTAGCTGCTGAGCCACCTCTCTAGCCCTCCTCATGTTCTAGTTTAATGGCACACATTAGCCAGGGAACTGTCCAGCACTCATCTCTAAGACTTGCACTTCCATCTACAGTTCAGTGGTCTGGCTCAGCTGGAAGCTGAAAGTTCAACACACTATGTTTCCATGTGTGAGCCCAGAAGAAAGACAGGATCTAGTAGAACCCCAGAAATCCATCTACCCTTTAAACTTAAAACTGTCAAGACAACTGGAAATGAAAATAAACACGCTCTAACAAAAAGTCCTTTATTTCTTAATGTATATATTCCAAGAAATAAGGACAGAGGGAGAGGCCAGCTGATAAAGCAGTTGGTCCAAACCATTCTTTCTGAGTTCCATGTGACAGAATCAGAGCTCAACACAGTTGAAATTCAACATGACCTGAAAGAAGGCAGGCATGTGTCAGCTATTTATACAAAGACAAGCTGAAGCAACCTAATACTAAGTGATAAGAAACAATGTCATTATAGGCTTCAAAATTTAAAGAGAAGGCTGGGTGTGGTGGCACATGCCTTCAATCCCAGCAAACGGCATGGAGGTGGAGGCAGGCAGCTGACAGTGAGCTCAAGGCTAGCTAGCCTGCTCTATATAGTGAGTTCCAAGTCAGCCAGGGTTATGCACTGAGACTGTAGCTCAAAACATAACAAACACACAAAAAATCCCCCGCAAAATTTTAGAACAGAACTTGGAAGAAGCATACATTCATTTGAAGAAGGAAGAAAAATGTCTAAATGAAGTAGGAGCTGGATGTTGTGGTACACGACTATAATCCCAGCACTGGAGAGGCCAAGGAGGAGGATCATGAGTTTGAAGTGAGTATGGGGTACATAGTAACACCCTGTCTCAAAAATTGAAAACAACAAAAAACAAACAAAATAATTAAGGTACATTAGGAGGAACGTAGAAAATATAAGAAGTCAGAGTTGACTGGGTACAAAAAAAAGAGAGAGAAGGTGCAATGTCTATTTTAGCACTGACCTTTGATGAAAACAATAGCAATCTGGGAAACATATGAAAAAGTTGATATAAACATGTTTTCTGGATGCCAAGAATCCAATAATTTGTCATTTTTAAACATCTGAAGTTTAACTAAAACTTATAATAGCTTACTTCCAAGATAAAGTTCAAGTACCTTACAATAGTAAAACACATAGCACAAGCTAAGTAAAAACAGAGATCAAAGCCAACAAGAATGCCAGCAGTTACCAGTGCACATTGGGAATTGTATTGTTTGCTTTGTTTTGTAATCACAGCATGTGTTCTTTTTAGAATTTTCAAAAAATGTAGGCCAATTAAAGAAGAAGTTGAGAAATAGCTACACTAAGCACTGGTTTGAGCCATTTACTTTAGGACAGGCTCCAAGTTCACGGTAAACAAGGCCAAAAAGATGCATAACTCCAGTTTCCCAGTAAAAAGTGGCACCTGTGTCCATTTGAATTTTGTTTGATGGTTTTATGAATGATGAATGAACACAGTTATTGAAGAAAATGGATAATGCTTTGAAGCTATGATTTTGTTAAGGATGTAGAAGCATGATGTCTGCCTTTCAAATTCTGAACTAATATTCTCAGTTAAGAACACAAAAGCTGATTTAAGAATTTCCTTTTCAGAGGAAAGTGGATCTCTGTGAATTCGAGGCCAGCCTGGTCTACATAGCGAGTTCCAGCCTAGCTGGGGCAACAGGGAGACCCTGCCTCAAAAAGACCAAAAAAAAAAAACAAAAAAAAAAAAAAAAAAAAAAAAAAAAAAAGAATTGCCTTTTCTATCAATCAGGACTTGCAAACAAGAAAAGGACTCAGCAGAACATTGGAGCCCAAAGGTCACCTTGTTCAACTTCCTATCTAAAAAATATTCCTTAGATTGGCTTGAAGTTTTTTTCTAGGTCTAGCACTTAATGAGTCTGGGTCTCTCCTAAGTCTGAATTGCTAGGCTAAAAGATCTCAATTTCTTCAACAATTCGTTCCTTTGTCCTGATTTTGATCTGTTTTCCAAACCCACGGTATGGATTTTTCTCTAAATTCACTCAGCCTCTTTTCCTGCTGAAATGTTGTCTTAAAAACTAGAAAACATCCTCACAGATTATGACAGTGAGGCCCACAGATACACAGAGCATCGATTAGAGTTGCATGGTGATGAACTATCAGATGGGGGTTCTTAAATGTCAGAAAACTTCATGAGGTCTAAGTCCTCATCAGGTGTCTTAAAAAACAGCAACAATAATTTGCCACTTGGCTATGTCTAGAAAATACTGTTTTTATTTATATACTTGTAGAACATTCTTTCCACAGATAATGTGGTAGATAAGAGAGACACAAAAGATGAATGTTCTGCTGAGTTTTTATCCTATTTGCAGTTCTGATTGATAGGAGAGGAAGTTCTTAATTCATCAACTGAGTAGCTCAGCAGAGCTTGCTCTCTGACAGAGGGGCACATTACACTGAGTATGTTGCAGCAAGAAGCACAGAAGGGGTACAAATCAAGACCTAAATCGTTCACAGACAGTACAGACCATATATGCACTGGGGAAGCAAAGAAGGCATTACTTTTTGAATCGGGTCTTAATAAAGGTTCAAGATTTCCAAAGGTAGAGATAGAGAGAGAGTAGTCCTTCCAGCTACAGTAAGCAAAGGCCTGGAAGGAAAGAAGGAAGGAAAGGAAGGGAGGGAGGGAGGACAAGGCGTGGTCAAGGATCCTCACTAAGTCTACATGTGGTTGGGCCACAGAGACTGGCAGTTGGATGGTCCAGCTGAAGAATGTCACATTCACTTACTAGACCTTGTATGAGCCACTTCATTGCCTTGACTTTTTCATTATTATCAGGCTATGGATTCATGTGTAAATGAAGACAGTAAAAGAGAACAAGCCAGAGTATTAAGGCCAAACTCTCTCACATGACGTGTTCCATGTGGTCATAACACAAATTAGAACTGAACACATTTAAACAGTATCTCAGCTATCCTCATAAGATTTTGAAAGCATGCTAAACTCTGGCAGTTGATGTTTTCTGGGGGA